CCGCCGGCTCCTCTCCAATGCATTAAGGTGACGGGGGGTGATCACCCTAAACTGAGGCTGATCACCCCCTCTCGCAGGGCTTAAAAAACATAGGACCCACACATGCTATATATCAATCGAGATCTCTTGATGAGTAAAATCTACCTGTACCCTTCCCACGCAGATTCGTTAACACACACACACACGTTATTTGCGAAAAGTCGATTTTTGGAGACGTGATTTCTGCTCTATTTGCGATTTCATAACTCTAAGAGGAATTCTTTTTAGGATCTACTTTCTTTTCTGTGTGATAGAGGAAAGGCTCCTTACTAACGCCTATACTCTCGCAAGATGACACTCTGCAACTTACTCAAGTACTGACTCAAAAACTGACTTTCCTTAAATATGGCCAACATTGTGACTTCAACTGCACTGCCCTAGAAATCTCTTCTGACATCATTTATACTGTTTTTATCATTGTTCTGGACTCTATATGTTTATTATGCTTTAAGCGAACACAACTGAACAACAAATTCTTTTATTGTACTACAAATTACCGACATAATAATTCATTTGCAAAAAAATTCATGACCAATGCAAGCTTATTAACATCATTCACATCAATATTTTCCAGACAAATCTGTCCATCAGCGCCTTTCAAGCCTCTAAATATCTGCTATTGTCCGCTGCCCATGTTATTGTCGGTCAAAACCATTTTTACAAGATTCCGCGTTCGTTCCTTCTAAAAATGCAATTTTCATTGTATATTTTTGTAATTTCGTGCGCAATAATTCCTCACCTTGAAAAAATTTTTTCGTCCGTTCTAGGTGAAAGGGCGGGGGGTGGTCCGACCTCCAAAGTGAAAGGAGGGTAAGTATTTGCTCACCCCATCGCACCTATGGTCGCCACTATGAGCTGATGGTTTTCCTCTTCGGCGTTAGTCAGTACCACCTAACTTGACCGTCCATATTTCCGGAGCGAATCTTTCGGTGTATGGTGCTCATCAATTTCGCAGGTTGGATATCTTTATAGCTGTCCCCTCCTCGCCCCAGTTAGCATACTAGTGAAAGGTACTGCAAAGTAAGCCATCAAACCGATACATAATCGTTCAAATCGTGTATGTTAGGATCCATCATACTTCACGATATTCAAATCGTTCAAATCGTGTATGTTAGGATCCATCATACTTCACGATATTTCAATCGTGACGCGATTTGAATGCTACATTTGTTAACTCATTGCAAGTACATTCTGAATTTACAGAGGTAGGGCATTCTATCAATCTGCGAGAGTTATTCGCATGATGCATTTGTAGTCTGTAGCTGTTTCTTTTGAAGACTTCTGGGAAATCGCTAGATCGCATGAGTCATGGCGCTAACATCGAGAAAGTTTATTTGCAAAACCAACTCTATCTTAAATTGAAGGAACCCAAAAGATTGTTTTCTGGCTGGGCGTTTCGCGGCGAACCAGGAATTTAGGGTTTAGTGAGTTTATTTTGTTACCATGCTTCCTTTGACACGGACATAGCCACTTCCTTCCGGTGTCCGAATTGAGCGGAGCTTCAAGAAAGTGTTTGAAAGATCTACCACGTAGCAAAGTTCTTTGTTAAAAGAAGGAGATGAACATATAAAAAAAGCGGTGTGTTGGGTAAGCATCTACAAAAACGTTGGATACCAATACCAAAGTACGAGACCATAAAACGCCATACCGGCTACAGCACCAGAACAAATGGCAAAACAACCCTTCTTCTACCACTTATTCCTCAGAATTTTTAAACACGTGTTTTACTTCATGGTGTAAACGCGAAAGCACCGGTCCGCCACTCGTCTCCTTTTCTCTAATTTCTCTCCCTCACGCTCCATTTCCTTGCCCCCGTAATCTTTCCTTCTAGTCTCCTCCCTCGTTCTTCAAGAATAATGAAGAGTATATAGCAACGACATAAAGGAAAAGGATAAAGGCAAGCCATGAAAAGCAACTTTCTTCCTTTTCAAGCACAGCTCTAGACTCAGGAAATCCAGAAGATCAGAGAGATGGAAAGCTCGCGACTGCAATTTTCCCGGGCCACTGTCTTTGAGAGCGCACTTTGCCATCGGAACAGGATTGAGCCAGCTTTTTTTGCAGCTTCAAAAGATAAATAACCCGCTTTTCCAGACGCGAAAAGTGGTATTTGGGCGGAGGCGTATGACCTGCTCTCTGGAGCGCGATCGCCTCGTAAATGGAGACATCGTACCCATCTTGGCGGCAATTGGATTATTGGCTCCAGCAGCCACTTTCGCGACCCTCTCAAACAATTTTCATGTCTGGAAAAGCAGGCTATTCTTATCTCTTGAAGCTGCAAAGCACAGTCTTAGACTTAGCATTAGCTCATCCAAAGGAGCCGAGAACGATGAGTATCCCAAAGTTGTCATTCTGCTGAGCCGCTGCTTGCTAAAACCAAACCTTGCAACTTTGAGATCTTGTTCTCGCTCAGATGATATAGGCAGCAAAAGTTGCAAATACTAAGAAGGAACTTGTTTCGCATAGTAGGCCTCGAGTCTACTATACGAAACAAGTTGCGATAATGCAAGAAAATCGGCATGCAATGATATTGTTAAAGTTGTCTGTTGCTATCAATCGCGACGATCAAGTCGCGTGAACTCTGCCCGAGGCTTTTGGTGAAGGACGGTGGATGTACGGAAACTTAGCACACATCGCTATAAGAGCTTATGACATGCTGATCACGAATATGTCAAAAGGCCTAGTCTCATAGGAAGGTTGTTACTGGTGAAGCTTAGAACAGACGAGCGTTAATAGCTAATGATATAAAGCTTTAAACAGCGGCATGCACGCTCGCTTACAAGCTAAGCTTGTGACTTTGCCAGGAAAGTTCTGTGTTTTGATACCCTGTTATTTGCGCAAAACCTCTTCATCAGCTATCAACTCCTCCTACAAAACATTTATAGAACATGTTGCATGAGTGTAGTAAAGACCAGAGCGTTGAGCACTCGCATATCCAAATCTAAGCAAAATTTGTGGTTTGAAATAGTCCAGCTACAATTCTATTTGTCAACGTAGCTCCAAGTAGAACTTGATATCATTAGATTATCGAAGACAAAAAGCGCATGTAGGTTCCGAAAGTTTGGCCACAATTTGACGTAGACAAAACAGTAAATGTAAGCTTGTTATAACGGTCACTCTTTGATAATAAGTGCTTGGATATCTGTACTAAAACTGCTAACATCAAAGTTAGAAGCTTCCAAAAATCAATCTGTTTTTGTACAATTTTGTTGAATACTTTAGATTCTGTTCATCGTTTTGACTCGCTCTCTCAACAGTCAAGCACACTCTCTGAAGTTACTGCAATCGTAAACGTTTTTGTTCAACTGCGAATGTTATAAAAAGTTATAAGTTTTCACAAACAAGCTCCATGGTTGCCTCTCAGGTTCTTTAATCAAAAAATCTTATTGCACTTACTTCTTACTTTTTTCACTCACTCTGAGTGGCCAAATTTGACTTAATATATGAGTGTAATCGCTGAAGAGCCTGTGAACTTCGCAACTACTCACCAAAAATTGGCTCGACTGCAGCCACCGCACATATTTTTTTATCCTATAGATGAGTTGAGAACTAATGCGTTGAAATTTTTGCGTAAAAAACTTATGCGTCGAAATCTTGCGTACGTTGCATTCCTTGAGGAATTTTCTCATTAGATTTATGGATCTTTAAGGATTTTTTGAGGGGGTAACCTCCTTTCTAGACCATCGTTCATACGATAGGCCTTCTCTGCGTGGAGACTGTACTCAAATCAGAGCGGCTTGAGGAGCGTTTTGGTTCGCTGAATGACTGCTTGCCGGTGTCTTCTTCGCCTTCTCACAAGTATTTCGAGGCGACGCCCTCTTTTTCGTGTCTTGCGCAAAAGGAGAGGTACAACTCGTTTGCATTGCCTTTGAAGCAAATCAACGGTGAAATTTTGGCTTTACGCAAAAATAACAGTTTGACAGTTTTGTATCACAAACCCGAAAATTTATGTGCAATGGATCACTTGTGGCATTGATTGCAATCTGGCTTCATTACGGGGATGAACAGGCTCTAATGGCAGAACTGTATCTTTCAAGCTTTGAATTGAGCCCTTTGAAATACGTAAGATTGTGCTGGCAAGAATACGCGCTTGTGCTATTTTAAAAACTAGCATAACTCAAACGGAAAATGGATTCCTTCTTGAAGGCAGCATCCAGGCAAATCTGGACTTATGGGGCTTTCACGTGGAAAGTAATCTTTAGGCCCTAAATAAGACTCTGCCCAAGCGGCAGCTAGATAGTGCACTCACGGCTAAGATATTGAGCTCCAAACTACACCCCGTGACCGTATTCGCATGGATTCATGGCTCGGCACACCAGTTTCGCGTGGATCCTCGCGCAAAAGCGCCACGAATCCACGCGAATACGGTCACGGGACATAGTTTGGAGTTCAATATCTTAGCCGTGAGTGAGCTATCTGAGCTGCCGCTTGGGCAGAGTCTTATTTAAGGCCTCAAGATTACTTTCTATGTGAGAGCCCCACAGGCCCAGATTTGCCTGGATGCTGCCTTCAAAGGCAACTAGAAAAAATATGAACAACACTCCCACGGTTCAGTTTTAATGCCTCATGTTGTAGGATAGAAATATTTGTAACTCTTAATTCGGCTACAAGTAGCTAGTATGGTTATAGCTTGGAGATCGCAACATTTGATGTTGCAGTCAGCAGTCAATAAACCAGCGATTTAGACTAAAACGCATATGGTAGATGATAATGTAGCAAGAAAACAGCAACCTAGGGACGAGCAAAATTTACTTACTAAGTATTATGCCGTACAGTGATGTAGTGTCTGGCTTCTCAGTATGTTTTTCCTGTTACAACGGAAAAGCAGACATTCAAAAGTTACCATCTTCGCAACTGAGTTATTGTCTAGAAGAATTGATAACTTCAGATAACGACCACATAAGCCCCAAACTATAAAAGTGTGCTGTTTGATAGTACCTCCTCATTTTAAAAACTTCACTGACATGGGTCAGTCTGGAAGCAAAGCTGAAGAGGTTCGATTGGTCTACTGCGCTGATGAAGGACATTTGGAACACTTCAGGGAGGTGATCAACAGCAATCACCCCCGCAGCAACCGTCACCGGCGCCAGAGCCACCACCAACTCATAAAGAAGGCGAAGAAGAAGCCGCAGCAAAAAAGGTAGCCGATGTCTCTTGTTTGTGCAACACTAAGATAAGTGTTGGCAGGACACAGAGCAAGCCCCACAACAGGAGCCATCACCGGCGCAAAAGCCACCATCAGCCGAACAAGAAGAAGCAGCAAAAAAGGTCAGCAACATCTCTTATTCTTACAGAGAGGGACCCTGTGCAAAGCACTTGCAGGCCGCAGAGCAAGTCCCTCCTCAAGAAGTGTCACCGGCGCAGAAATTGTCATTAGCGGAGCAGGAAGAAGCAGCTAAAGAGGTGAGTAATGTTGTCGAATATTTAGTAAGACTTCCATTTATGATAATTCATAATTATTTGATGCAGATAACAGGGCCGTCTCCACCTCCAGAGAAGCCTTTAGCGCCGCTTCCTGAAGTTCAAAAGCCCCAGCCAGCTCCGCTGGAAGCAGATAGAACACAAGTGCCTTCAACAGATGTGCCACACGAAATACGACAGTCGATCACCACAGTTCCAGCTCAGGAAAAGAAGGAGGCGTTTGCTGTTGCTCCACCAGTTGAAGAAAAGAAGGAAATCACTGCAAAAATTGTCTTGCCAATGGAGGAGAAGAAGGAGATGGAAAAACTTCCGCACAAGGACGAAAAATTGATCGAGAAGAAAACAGAACCTGTGAAAGAAATGGCTACAGCAAAGCAAACAAAAGACGAGAAACTGATCAAGAAGGAGATAGGACCTGCAAAAGAAATGGCTACAGCAAGGCAAACAAAAGAGGAGAAACTGGTCAAAAAGGAAAAAGAACCTGTGAAAGAAATGGCTACAGCAAAGCAAACAAAAGTGCCACAGCCTTCAATAACAGTGGTTCCTACAAAAGTGCCGGCAGTTCCATCGTATGAATTGAAAAAAGATGAATTACCAGAAGGAAAGAAACTCCTCAAGGGATTGGAAGGCGTTCCTCCGAAGGAAGAAAAAAAACCCTCTGTGCATGAAAAGGAAGAAAAGAAGGCGGCTCTTGATAAGGAAAAGAAATCAGCTGAGATAGAGAAAGTAAAAGGACCGAAGAAGTCGGCTGAGAAGGCTGCTCCAACGAAAAAAGCGACTCCAACCATTGTCCCAAAAGCACCAGAAAAGCAAGTTGATAAGAAAGGAAAAGAAAAGAATGAGAAGGCAAAAAAGCCTTCCGCGGAGAAGCCTACGCTTTCGAAGGAAAAGGAGACAACTAAAAAAGGGGCAGTACTTAAAAAGGAGGAGAAAAAGAAGGAGGAGAAAAAAGATACGGATAAAAAGTCAGCCGATAAGGGAAAAGCGAAGAGCAAGGAGAAATTTCAACATAAAAAGGATGATAAAAAAACGGAAGAGAAAAAGACAACATCAAAAGAAACTGCTTCTAAAGGATCCAAGAGTTCAGGAACTACGAAAACACGTAGTACAAGCGATGTACCGCAGAAAGTAAGGGTTCAAATTACAAGGCACAGGAGATAGGAAATCTGCATTTAACACCTAATGTTTAGGGTAAGAAGGACAACACGAAGAAAAAGAAGAAGTAAACTGAGCTTCAAGAGGTAAACAAAGGTAAACAACCTAAAGCTTTGAAAAGTCTGCAGAGATATAATTTCTTCAGACTTTCTACCACGTTGAAACAATGTCACCAAACAAGCTCTACACTGCTGATTTTACTAAATAAATAGTTTTTTTTATGACCGAGTTCTAGTAATCTTTTAGAATAAATATGTTGTATAATCTTTATTTTCCTCGTATGATTACATCTGACAAGGGAACCTATCTAATCGAGCTCGGCCTTTGGCAAGAAACATATTCTGAATCAGTTTCAAACGCTGACTGTAGATATGCTACTCCTAGCTGCCGCGCACCATTCCGAAGCGAGTTATGGGCTTTTCACGGAATTGGCATGCTCATCGAATTACTGGCATCACGTCATCATTATCTTAGTGCTTATTCGCTTCCGTTGACTACCCCTCAATGACTGAAGATTCAATTTGATGTTAACTCGATAATCCAGCACCATTTCCTTTGAAATTTTCACCTACAGGCTGGAAAGATTGTAACAATCGGTTTTACCTAAATTCTGCATTCAGTTTTCGTTCCAAAAAACGGTCATAACTCGGCGTCCAGAGACGCTTGGCAGATTTGCAAGGCAATTTTGAAATCAGCGTGCAATACTCTTCAAAGCGGTATGGGTCTCATCTAAAAAGGCCACTTCGACTAAACACGCTTCCCTTATGAGTAATTTTGCAATGAACTTTTAGCACGGATTCTCTGATTACTCCGCCTACACACGTTAACCGATTTCCTCGATATCTACATTAGACTGGGTTTACGTGATCCGCACTGGACGGGGAACAGGGTAAGGGAAGAGTGGAACTATAAAAACAGAACGACGGCTTTCCTCTGTGCTAGTCACCATTTGGGCGCGAAGGCAAACACAAGTCTTGTGAAAGGACACTCCAAATTTTAACATAAGCTGCTTTTCGGCACAAGAGTAAGCCTCTTTTTTGCGGAAACTTTGTTGTCAAAAAAGGTTCATAGCTGTAAATTCTGCCAACATATCAAGAAGTGGAGCGGAAGTTCATGTAAAAACTTAAATTCTCAAAAACCGTTAAAAAACAACATAAACGCTGTACTCTCAACTGCATGATGCTTTATCAATTTACTTTTGTATAAATAGGCCTTTCACCGTTGACCGAGATAGACTGGGATTTTACTCAAAAATAGACATGCTTACGAATCGCCTTAAGTGGCATTTACAAAGCAAGCAACAATTGTTACTTGAGCTTGAGCCGAACTAAGCCGAGCCAAATCCATATCAGTTATATGGTACTGAAACGCACCGGCATCAGAAGTTGCGCAAAAGAGGCCTTTTCGGCCGCTTCTGAGCGCTTTCTGGAACCCAGCCGAAAAGAAAGGAGTAATGTGAAACCGATATTCCGATACTCTCAGGCGCCAGGGCAGGCGGGCACCGGAAAATGCGTTTTGCTGACTTTCCGCGCGCCGCTTGCGATATTTCAGAGAGCCGTCCATACTTTTCGTGTCAAACTTTTTTCGCTCTAATTTCTAGCAGAAAGATGGTTGCTTTTTGGTCGACGCCAAAGTCAACAAGCGGCCTAGCAAAAACTCGCAGCCGCTTCCAATAAAGAACGAGCGGATGCGAATTGCGAAAGCCATCTATAAGGTTGAAGCGAAAGTTCTGTCGCACCATTTTCAAAAAATCGTAACTACTTCCTGTCACTATACTTTTCCACAACAAAAATACCACTAGGAAGAGTAACTTGTGCACTTTCTAATCACACCTTGCTTTCTCTCTCCCATGCTCTGAGTGCACAGATAAAATTATAAAAATTGGTTTGATTTCAGAATTTTGAGGTAAGCTCGTTAGAAATTCCAAAACTGTGCAATAAAATCCAAAAGAGTCACTATCCTAGTTTTTTGTTACCCCGTTTTCAGCTGAGCAGAAATCGCCCTGATCAAGCTCTTCTTAAGAAAGTTATTTCGAGAAAAAATGCCAAAAGATCGGTTTCTCAAAGGCAGCGTCCAGGAAAATTTGGTCGCATGGCTCTTTCGCCTGGAAATTGATGAGAAGGTCCTAACTAAGGCACTGCCCAGAGGGCAGCGCGATTTGTTCGATCACGGCTGAGAAATCCGTCTCGAAAACCCCGCGCCTGCGCCGTGACCAGGGCTCAGTACAACTGGCACCGGGTCAAGCTGGATATCGTTTTTAGGGCGGAAAGCAAAGGGGATATCGTTTCTACAGGGGCCGAGGCGGAGAACTACCGCAAAAATGCCGCCGGCATGCCACCAGCATGCCATTGGCAAGCTGTCCATCAACAAACAAAGGCGTTGTTTTCAGCCAAAACGCACTAGTATGACACCAAATTTGGTGTGTGCATGCGCGTTGGCGGATCGGAACTACGGGCCAAAAATTTATGAAAACTTATGTGAATGAAAGCTGTGCCCAACTTTTTTCTGAATTAGCTGGAACCGTGCCAGCTGGGTGCCAGCTGAGCTGGCACCGACACTTTGCTCACATAAGTTTTCATACTTTTTTACATAAAATGTATCTGCACTGTAAAAGATTACATACGGAGAAGAAACAGTTTCATAATGTTCTCTTTTCAGCGTTTTATAGCAATTTGAAAACCACTCGGCACGCTCCGCAGTCGAAAAATCGGCTTTTTCTGCTTCTCAAGATGTGATTCGACCACTTAGAAAGCTCAAAAAGCTGTAAAAAGTTCTTTCATGAAATCAGAAATGCATGAAAACACTACTACATTTTTTGACAATTATAAAAATGATGACGGGTTTTCAAAACAGGTCAAAAGGGACTTCGTACGAAATTTTCAATATCAAACGGGACTTCGTTTTGAAATTTCCCTGGTGCCAGCTCGTGCCGAGCCTTGGCCGTGACCGTAACCCAAAAACGACTTCGCTCACTTTAACATTACGTTCGCGGTGGGGACCAATCCTAAGTGGTCTGGTGCGGTCACGACAGGGTCAAGCAAGGGGTGTGGCACACGATCGCTGGTTACGACCCCCCCTCCTGATTTCTGTCATAATAAGACCCCCCCCCTGAACTATATACCTAAGATAGCATTATCGGAGCTGAGAAAGAGGTCGGGCACAAGTCTTTCGAACCCCCCCCCCCTCCTATGAAAGCCCTCAAACGACCCTTTCTTCCTCCTCTTAACCTCTGGACCTCAAAGTGTGACATTCTGGAGGACACCATCTTTTTCTAGAGAGTTTTCAGATTTCTGAGAGTTGTACGCCCGATTTTCTGTGACTGCACTTTACAATCACGCGTAATTTAACGGCTGATTTTGATCTGAATGGGCATATTGAAAGGGCCATAATTTTCTTATGGGCTGGGCGTTCGGCTCCAAAAAAACGTAGCAAGAAGAAGCCATGTGCTCAATACTCATACCAGCAACGGAGATTTCTGAATTTCGAAGGCAAGTTAAGGAGGTGCGGCACACCCCCTTAGAAGCTGCGGCAGCCGCAGCTTTTGAGGGGGTGTGCCGCACCCCATTAACTATATCAAAAAAAACATCTTTAGCGGACAGTATTTATTTGAATCGATAGCCTAAACCTTGTAGATTCCATAGGACTGTTTGGAGCCTGATTTGTCTTCTTAACTCTAAATAATATTTGGTGAAAGCACAGTGATCAAAAGCGAAAAATGGGAAAAACGAGATTTTGGTTGGCTTCTTATTCCACAGTTTGCAGTATACTTGGGTAATTCGATAATTTTTCATCGAATGAATTAATATCGAATAAATTCGAAAAGGAAAAATTTTGAATAAACGAATATCGAATAAATTCGAAAATAAAAAATCTCGAATAAACAAATATCGGATAAATTCGGAAAATCAGAAATATCGAATGAATGAATTTCGAATAAATTTGGAAAATCAGAAATATCGAAAGAATGAATTTCGAATAAATTCGGAAAATCAAAAATATCGAATGAATGAATTTCGAATAAATTCGGAAAATCAAAAATATTGAATGAATGAATATCGAATATATTCGAACATTGGAAGTCGAATTTCGAATAAATATTCGAATGATTCATCGAATAACTAAAGCAATCACATCTCAAACTTGCTGACATATCTGGCTAAAGCCGACCCAATCATAATCAGCCCCCTAGTATCCCCTATACCAACTTTTAGCTCAAAATTTTCCAAAAATTGCTGAAATCAATAAAATAGATATCGGTTTTAATCAGCACCCTCACTTACCCCTTTGTACCAACTCCCAACCTCGTAGCCCAAGATTTTCCAAAAATCGATAAAGTAATTTTTTATCCATAATCAGCACCCTCACTTACCCCCTTGTACCAACTCCCAACCTCGTAGCTCAAGATTTTCCAAAAATCGATAAAGTCGGTTGGCAACTAGTCTATACATCAGCAAAAAGTCATATTTTACCCATTATCGGACGATCTAAAAATATGCTGTGTCCAAAAGATTGTTCTTCATATGGTCTGAAAGAGACCACATATGTACTTAAATTCCACAAATGCTACGATACATTGC